AAATATATTTATTTTAATAATTAGTTAAAAAATTATTAAAAAATAAAAATTAATATTAACAATACAATCAGGAATTTTATTAAATATAGAAATCGATTCTAGAATGGTCTGTAGAATTTTAATTGATTTTTGATTGGATTCTTGATTAGTTTTTCAACTAAAAATTATAATCGTTTGTGATAACTAACTATTATACAAATTGAAAATAAAGAATTTCTAGTTTTGTAATCAATAAACATCTTTTCATAATTAAATCTTTTTAAAAAAGCAGATAATATTTAAATACAGAAATTTATATATAGAATTTATATTAAACTTAATATACCAACGTTTATATTAGAATATAATAATGTCACAACTCTTATCGAGACCAAGAGCCAGAGATCTTCTCTATATATTTATGAAACTAGTTAGTAAATACAATAAACTCAGTCTAAAATCCTGTAAAACGAAAGAATCACAAGTTTTGAGACATGCTAGTAGTTAAGATGCAGCTAAATAACTTTCATTATATTAAGATCTTTATCCTTTTGAAATTTTACTCGATCTGTAAGAGACATTATAATCAAGCTATTTTTACTAGCAGCTATTAAATGGTTCAATTCTTGCTCATAAAGATAAAAATCTTGAACTGATACTAAGTTTAAAATTAATTCAATTTTTATTTTTAATTTTAGAATTCATGAAGAGATAATTAATAATAATGAGTTAATTAATAATGATTATGAAAGAGCTGAAAGATTATTTAATGAAAGTTAAATAGAAAGTCAAGAAAATAGTGAACATATAACATATCTCACTAATAAGATTGCCAAATTATAATGAAAACAAGAAATCAAAACTAGAATTGAAAAAATAATTAATGAATATTTTGAAGAAATAGTTCAAACAAGAGATCTGTTTCAAAAGCAAATCAGAAACTCGTTGATAAAAGTTGAAAGCATTTTTATTTCTGCTTTTTATTACGTCGAAAAGCATTGTTTATATTTATTTCTTGTACACTACCAAGTTATCTCTGTCTTCTCGATATTTCACCTATCTTTTATGGCTCATAAAACGTTATAATCCCAGATCGAATTTGTTCATATATACTGTATACTTCAACTTGATAGCAGATCATTCTGGGAGAGAAAAAGTTTAGTTATATAAAAATATAATGCTTTCTTAAAAGGTCATCATTCTTTCTGCGCCGAACTAATATAAAATTTAAAAATTTACGGCTTATTTTATTTATAGAGAAAGTCAATCGGACATTTAGATACCGTAATTTGACGCATAATCACCAAGTCTGCACCATGGAAAGATATTATTAATATGTATTATATAGTAATAGAAAATTTTATATATAACAACAAGAATCTTCATTTACAAGATCATTCATAATAATTTCCTCTCCTCCATACATCAGATCTGGAAGGATCTTATCAATTTTTTAACAGGTTTAAAGTAACTGACCCGAGCTGGTTTATGTGACAGATTACAGTATATATTCTAAAAAAAGAATAATTTTAGAAAATATTCTGTTCAGCATTTCTATACTATAAAGAGAAAAATCATCAGTATCTATATTTGGTGACTGTAATTTTTTTTTAAAAAAAAAGGTTTTGCAAAATTTTACACATATATTAATTAATTATATAACTCTAACTCTAATCTTAACTCTAATCTTAATCCTAATCAAAATACTAAGAAAATAAAGAGAATTTTGAATGATTTGATATTAGATCAAAGATAGAGCAGAATTACATGATTCATCTTATATACTGTAACTCGAAAATATTGTTGTAATAAAAATTAATTTAGATATTGAGGCTTGATGAAACAGTACTTAATGCTAAAAGTTTTCATCACAAGTGTTATCATTAATAACATAGTTATCTTAATTGCGTTCACAACCCTCAGTTTTTCCGACAATTTGACATGTGATTGTTTCGTGTTTATATATCAAATTTCGCTTTTATTAACAATAAAATATAGAACTTTATCTTATATTCATATATTAAAGAAAATGGCATACATAATGAGTTTAGCATAGTGATCGTCCGAAACTAAATATTACTTTTCTGTGCATTCTGATTCTATAGAACCGAGAAACTTTGCATTGTCCAGAGCTTATGTATCTAAAGACATGCTCTTGAATAATAAAATTCAAAGTAATTAAAGAAAGAATTATCTCCTGCTTCTTGTATTATTAAACTTCGGTCTACCTATTTTACCAGAAGAAAGCCCTTGTTTGTGTATCATCTTTTGAGGGTTATATAGATAGATCCCGCCATACTGTCATTTAGAGCATAGAAATTTCCCATTTCATACTCCAAAAGACTTTTCTTGCTATTCCGGTGCACATTATTCCATTTCTTTAGAGATCAATCTTACCAGCGATCTGCACACATTATTTTTAATTCCATCACAATTCTAATAAACACTCGTTTTTGATATTGCTCAGTTATCGTTATCCCTTCTTCGAGACCCAACAGATATTATAGTCATAACATATCTTTATTGATGATTGACCAAAAATTAATAATTTAATTAATCTAGAAGAGACATCAATTAATCTACAATCAAAGTACTATTTACGGAACAAACTGTCAAAGAAATGCATACTAAAGATGAAATTACGCGAACGATCGTAGCTCCGCCATTAGACTGGTGGCACCGTTTCAAGGAAGATTTTCTAGTCCTTGCAAGTGCATGCTGTTTACGTAAACACAGAATAGACATCTCTATGACACAAATATGATAGATAGCCGAAATTCGTAACGATATTAGATGCAGCAGTGCATTCAACAAGTGCATAAAAAAATTGATATTATAACTCTATTATTTAGAATCATTTCTTGTTTTTTCAATATCTTCCTTATGCAGTATAAGTACATGTGTATTGTATCGCATTACAAATGGTAGCTTTCATTCAATATAAATACTTTGGAGTACCTGCGCAGTTATTGAGCAACCCATTCCATCCCCTATTTTCAGATCTGAAATGTTTGAGTAACACACATAAAAAAACCTTAGTGATCTTGTCATCTCGCTTTCTCCTCTTTAACGAGAGAAATAAAACGAAAAGATAATAAAGGGGTGAAATAAATAATAGGAAAGTTGAAAAGACTATTTAATGTATTGTTATAACAACTACATGTATAATGTACAATCGATCGATAACACTATTATTTTCAATTTTAATAATGATGTATGGTAAACAACTTTTGCGCGTGAGAATTAAATTTGAGTGTTAAATCTAATTTTTTTTTTGAGTAATATGATGATGAATTCTAAGTTTGAAGATCAAAATGAAGAGACTTCTAATTTTTGAATATTAGGTGGTGTAATGCTAAATGAAGTGTAATGCTAATCTCTATGTTTTTCGTAAATTTCCAATATTAGATGGTTTTTGGGAATTGGGAAAGGAGGTTTTTGGCTTTGAAAAACGGGACACAGGTTTTAGAGATACCGTAATTAAGGTTTATAATGTGTACATCTATGATAAATCTATGTATTTGTTACAGTTTCCAACCAATTAATTCATTAAATTGTTAATGATGAAGCGGCTGTGAAGTTTTGATAGTTTGTGTTTGATGATTTTATTTTGTCCACGTTTACTTTAGATTTTATTAATGAACGTTCTAGTTGATTTCTAGTGTAAAAAGATAATCGTGCAGCGTAATCCTTTCTTGCGAATTCTACCATCTCGTCGGTTGGAACAAAAAAATAGCTATCATAATCTGTATCAGGGGATGATGATTCACTATGATTGCTGCTTTTCAAATTTGATTTTGAAGAGATGGAGCTCATGATGTTGGTGTTGTTCTGAATCAGGCAAGAATTTTTAATTTTTCGACCATGTTGCAAAGACCTGACACGTCTCTTTTATATTTTTCGGATGTTTGTGTGCATGTAACGAATGCAACCTTGATTACGGATGTACATATTGTTTTGCTCGAATTCTCATATAAGGTCTTACATAATAAGAATATTTGTGCTTTATTTAGCTGCATGCGTCATTCTGCATTGATGTATGTATTATTTATTTTGATTACTCTTAAAAATAACTCACCCACAACAAACACTGGGTGGGACACTTGAATCGATTTTTTTTTGCAATTGTTCTCCACGTTCCCTTTTCGCTAGCTTACGCAATCCACCTAATAATCAATGAGAATGATAAACGAACGAAATTGATAATAGGACAAAATTGTTAAGGATCATTTTGTTGAAAAGAGAAAAAAAAATTTGTTCACACCGAAACAAATATAACTACCTGGATTTATTTCAAAGATTTCGGCGGTTGAACAGATTCTAGAACTGTTACTATCACATAGAGGGTTAGAAGTAAAATATCACCCCATTTTTGCGTGTTTATTATTTACTTCCCAAAATGGGGGTAGTCTAATTGTATCGCAATAGACAGGTGCAGAAAATCACGGTCTGATACAAATTATTATTCCCCACAACAATAGAAGATGATAGATGAATGATGTCAGAAATCCATATATAAACTCGAATGAGAAAGTGTGTTACAAGAAAGGCAAATTGCAGTACGGGTGTTTCGTAGGTTCCGTGATACAAACCAAGAAAGGAACAAAATATGCACCATGGTAACTATGTAAAGAGAAAGGTGGCGGTGCATCAATCATGTACCCAAAATTATTAAGAGGGGCCACATGTCCAATAATAAACCTTGTTTTCCGGCCGAAAACAAATAATGATGTCAAGTGATCGATAACGGATCATTAGCAAACATTTATAGTTAAACGGGTCAAAAATTTATATAAATTGTTGGAAGACCGCTCATATCTCTTCTAACTAAACATCAACAGCTATCGGCGCATTGCAACTTTCTAAGCCATCAAAATACATTGCTAAAAAAATCCATTTCGTTGCAACACAGCAAAACACGTTCGTACACACACACACACACACGCACACGCACACACACACACACATATACACACATACACACACCACGAAATTACTATCTTGCCTATTCTGCTTTAAAAATGGAAACGATTCAAACAGTAACCTCGCCAAAAAATGGTAACCGATCGGCAGTGACGAATGCACGTCAAGACTCCTACGATAAAGATGATTATAATTATACCCCAACTCCTGCAATGATCGAAGCGGCGAAACAAGATTACGCACTACGCGTTTACACTTTTACGCAAAATCAATTAAGGCGTGCCACATCTGAGAGTAGCGATATTGATATTGATAAAGATAACAATAAAAACAGCATTAAGACTAAAACTATTAATAATAATAATGATAATAACAATAACAATAATAATAATAATAATAATAACAATAACAATAATAATAATAATAACAATAATAAAGCCAAACATCGTAATAATACAAGTTGACTATATGATGGAGCAGCAATAAGTAATAGCAACAATAATAACAACAATAATAGCAACAATCATAACAACAATCATTTAAGGCGAAAATGGTGGGAATATGTGATTTCTTGTGGTCGTTTATCCGGTTATAAAATACATAACACTCATCATCATCATAGTAAATAGTAGATAGTAAATAAATATACGTATATAGTTTCTACCATATAGTTTGATACTTGGTAGCGTTAATATATTATGAATTTTGTATAATTAATTTTTATATATTTTTGTTTTTAATTTCCGATTTATAGTTAGCTTTTAATTAATCAAATTAATAAAAGTTATGCTCGCATAACTCATACAGTGTATGATCTGACACTCATTCATACTCTCTGTAATACTGCACTTGATTCCATTGACAGATATCATAATAACTGACATGAAACGAGGAATACAGTTGCATGTATTATGCGAGCACACCCTCGGGATAAGTAATTTCCATGGGTTCGTTTGTATCGAAGTCATCTTATGATTTATACGTATTCATTCTTTCATCATCGTGTCGATGTTCAACCGGAGTTTCGTAAACGATATCCGGCTGTGAACGAACGACTAATCTCAAAGATGATCAGCACAAGTTGGAAAAAAGACAACGTCATCAAATAAATGTAATAAAAAAATAGTAGAACCAATCATTGTTACGGAAGCCATATCTGATGATTTACAACGACAGAATACATGCACATGATGCAAACTCTACCAATCAATATATATAAAAAAGTAACGATATCGATAAAGATAACAATATCGATAAAGATAACAATATCGATAAGGAGCAACAGCATTAATGGTGAAATACGTGATTTCTTGTGGTCATTTATCTGGCTATAACATTCAATAGATAGCAAATAAATATACGTATATAGTCTCTACCATACGATTTTGATACTTTAATATTACAATTAATTTTCGGATTTGTAGTGTTTTCATTTAATAAAATAAATAATAAAGTTATGCCCGGATAGCTCATACTGTGTGAATGATTTGACACTCATTTTATATTCGCTGTAATTCAAAAACTGCATTCAATTACGTCATTAACTATCATGATAACTGACATGAAACGAGGAAAATAGTTGCATGTATATATGATCACACCCTCGGGATAAGCGGGATATTATATGAAGCTCTTATTTCAAAAATTTTTTTTCATGGGTGTATCGATCAGCGATTATTATTGAAACGCGATATCTATTGAAGTCAGTTCATAATTTATGCGTCATCAAATAAAAAATGTATGTAGATCAGCTCAATCTCAATCTGTACAACATCAGGGATAGAATCTATATTTCGTCATCAAAAAAGTTCTACATAGAATATCATAGAACCAATCATTGTTTAACAAACTCACGGAAACCCAAGAGTTTCCATATCCGATGGTCTACATAAAAAATGTAAACAATGACAGAATACATGACATTTATACATGCACATGATGCAAATTTGTCATCCTACCAAACAATATATAAAGATGACGCTCAATTCTCCCCCTTCCACAAGTAAAAACACACCAGATCAAAAACACAATGAAACCAATTTCTTCAAAATCAAATTTGAAAGACAACGACAGTAACAGTGATAATGAATCATCTCCTGATACAGACTATGACAGCTATTATTTTGTCCCGACTAAGGAGATGATAGAATTCGCTAGGAAAGATTATGCTACCCGTTTATATTTTTACACAAAGAATCGATTACATCAACTATTAATTAAATCACATGATCTCTGATGATGACACATGAATAAAATGTTATCGTATATTTCTTTTACACACCATTTCGATTTAGTCTCTTATCCAACTCAATAAATCTGGAGCCACTGTCAAAAACATAAAACTCTTAAAACAAACGATCAAACTAGCGGCCAGCAAAGAAAACGAGACTTCATCAGCAAAATTCGTAAATGACATAGTGAATGATAATAATGAAGTACATAGGGTGTAAATATCAATATTTCTGCGCAATGCTTTCGCAGATGCATACGGTCGCCAGGTTTCCTCTTTACCTAACCACACAAAAAGACTAACAATCATTAATGATTTAAAATTCGAAAGATTATCACGCACAATTACTGTAAATACCTACAGATAAATGCATAAAAACCTATGAAACTTCTTGGATAGCGATCAAAAGTGTTATCAAATATCGAGAACGCACCAAGTGCTATTCGTGCAGCCGAATCAAGCACGATAAAATTTAACAGAACTAAATAAGAGAATACCTATATAGACATTATGAAGATTAGTGAAAGTTCCAAAATCTAGTAAGAATAACTTGGACATACCGAAACTTCATCACCAAAAAGAAACAAAAATAAAACAGCACAAGCAGTCATATAGACAGAAATCACCACCGAAATCCAAATCATGACTAACGATTTCACTAAAAATCCCACTTCCCTATTCCGAGATTCTACGATTGTTGGTGAATATTTGAATGTCACTGAAACATCATATCGTTTTATTTTGTCCGCTATGTCGTCTAATGAAGTTTGGGAAATTGTAGTTCTGACGCTATTAATTATATGTACATAAATGAGATATTTTGTTAATAAACAAATGAAACAGCAGTTTCATCGGTCGGTTGTTATACTTGCTTATTATTATTATTATTTTTTAATTCATTTGATTGCATTTTAAAATGAAATAAGATGAAATAACATTTGTCATAGTCCGTCAATGCTTCTGACTTTATCACAAGTTGCACAGAAAATGGGTAACATTAGAATTGGTATATGTCATTACACCAAAATACAATCCCACATGATCAATGTTTCGTATACATGTACAGTACATTGTAGTATCGGTATGTATGGGTTTATTTAAACAAGTTTTTTTCTAAGATAACGTGTTACATTTTTTTATTTTCCTTTGTCACCTATAGTGATAGTATTTCAGTATCCTTTTAAAAAAAATGCTCCTGTATGTTTAAAAAAGCACATGTCTGTAAAAGGCACTTTTACCGTTATGGATCCCATGTGTAAAATTCTGCATGTCCTACATTTTTTTCCCATTACATCCAAATTTTCTTTAAAGTTAACTAGTTAAGCATAGCATATACATGTACATGCACGCCGAGATAGGAATATAAAAAATAATTTTACTTCCAAATCTCGATTAAATTAATGAATTATTCTTGGTGATTTATTTTTATGACTTTCTCAAATAGATTTGTTTGATGTGAGGCTCGTTTCTTTCTTTCTTGAATAATAGACATGTTTGGCGGTAGTAGAATTCCAAACGACGCATGTCAACCCGCAATTGGAGACAACGTAAGCGGTTTCGAGGATAAAGAACCCTGTCGTAACAATTAAACTTTATCTAGTACAAACTGTTTTGATTCAAAGAGCCTGAAACATTACTAAAATCACATTTAAAGATTCGATCTTTTAATCGGGTTTTTTGTATAAAGAATCTTGAACGAGTAATTTACTAACGTTAATTGATGCAAAAATTATAGCTTATAAAATGAGAAATATAAACATTAATATTCCTGTCATATTGATTGAAATAAATAATATATTGTTAACAGCGAGAAACTGGATTAAATTTTCCTACTAAAACTATAACCTAAGAGGTTTATTCTATAAATCGCTATACAACTATTATTTCAATATAAATATGATAAAAGAAATACTAAAATATTAAAGAAATAACGCAAATTTTATATTTAGATACGTAAAATATTACCCGTTAAAATACTAAAATTGAAAAACTTATTAATATATTTCATCATTATTTAATAGAATAAAGATGAAAGAAATATATCAGTATTCTATCATACATACTCTCAAAACGAATATGTAAATAGCTAAAATAGATTATTCTATAGAATTTAATAATGAGTTGAGTCTAAATCTAAATTAAATTAGTTAAAAGATTCGACAATTTTCAGGAGCTTAAAAAGATCATGCCCTTCTTCAAAAGCCTTTTGATAGCATTTTAAAGCCTTTTAGATTTTTTGAAATTCCTATTCCGTAATGGTAAAATTTTCCACCAGATTCTGCCGCTCTAAAATGCTTTATTATCGCCTTTGTCTGTTTCTTCTCTATAGGTCCAAGTTGAAACCAGATACATGTACATATAACAAGAATCCATTCGCATATAATATATAAATTTGCGCATTTGTAGTTTTCTTGGTTTATTAAAAAAAAAATACTTGCCCTTTTTTAATTTTAAATAAAAATTCATAAAAAATAAATATTTCTTAAATAATAAAACCATTTCTATATATTTTTTAACATTTAGGAATGAGAAAAATATAATTTAATAAAAAATCTTAGTAATATCTTTTATAAATTTTAATTCAAGTTCAAGAAATTTATAAAATTTATTTTTTCATCCTTTTGCAAAAATTCTTTTAATAAAGAAAAATATGATTTTTTTATAAAACTTTTTTATATAAAATATATGTAAAATTTTTTATATTCATCTTCTAAATTAATTTTTTTAATATAAAAAAATTAATTAAAAAATATATAAATTTTCATATCATTTAGATAATTTTTATTAAATTATAATAAATTTAAAGAATCAAGTTTTTTTCTTCCAGACTGTAGATTAATAATAATAGAGAGCAGGTTTAAATAATAACTGATAAATATATTCCACATTAATATATAAAATATGAGTTCATTAAGAAGTATAACAAGCTTAATAAGATTTACTTGTATTTTTCAATAATAATAATATTATTTATAAGATATATTCTAAATAAATTACAAATAATAATGTAAATTTATTATTATAATTATATAGTAAGATTTTGATTTATATAAGTATTTATTTTAAATTATCTAGTTTTTCATAAAAAAAAGATATTAAAATTAAATAAAAATAATAAAGTACATCTGATTATTACTTTTCTTAAAAATAATAGTTAATAAAAGCTTTAATAATAAAATACTTATAATATTAAATTGATTTACTTTAATATTCTGATAAAATAATATTTCAATAGTCTAATATTCTAATAATTTAATATTTCAATAAGTTAATATATTTAACTTCTTATTATATCCAATTTTCAAATATAAATCAGAAATTAAATTAGATTTTTGAAATTGAAAAGTTAATTTATTAGCATATTGAATTTTGATTATCAGAATATAGACTATCAGAATGTTGAGTTATCAGAAATATGAATGCTAATATGTTGGATATCCTATTAAATTACACAAAAGTCTTAATAAATAATAATAATTTATTAAAAAATCAAAACTTTGGTTTTATCTCTATAAAAAATGCATATAAATATATTAAAATACAAGATAAAATATATTGGTCTCTAAAGAATATTTTCTTAAACTGTTTCTTTTATGAATTTGCCCTGAATTTTGAATAGATATAGGTTTGTAAACAGAATATGTTTAAATAAATATAATATATTAATTAAATAACATTGACTATATTATAAAACTTAACTTAATAAAAAAATTTATTGCATTAAACCAATTTTATTAATAAAAAATTGAGGTTTTTGTCTTCAAACTATTTTTTTTAAATTTGTCATGAATACCAAAATGCTTAAGAGATTATTCTTTTTTGATATTGTACATAAGTTTGCATATCTAACAATAATTGCTCGAAAAACCCATTTTAAAAATAAATTTATCGTTAGTTTGGTATTGTTAATTATTAACACGTTCAATATTATCAGAATTAATTACACATTTCCGATGGTAGCAAACCATTATTATTATAATTATAATTATTAGGATACAAATTTGATTTGCTTGTGGTGGTGGTGACAATGATGATAAGTTAATGAAATTTGAAAAGTGTGATAAATGTGTTGTGATTGTAAAGTAGTAGCTATGATAGGTACGTCATCAAAATCTGATATTGATGTTGATTTAAAATTCATAAGATTATTAGAGTTATTTAAACTAATTTGTCTGTTTTCTAATTGTTTCTTTTCTCTTAATGCACTAGTTCTTGACAAGAATATAATTTACTTGTCGTGCTATTCCTTAATGTACATTTTATTTCGGCCGACTCTTTTTTCCATGCACGGGAAGCAATAGCGGAAACCTTATTTAATTTAAGAAGATGTCCACTCATGAAGCTCTTTTTAAAATGCGCGACGATAAAAGATGAAACAGTTTGGGGATTTTGTCGGGAATTTTTCCATTTTAAGAGCAATTACTTTTTTTGGAACTTTAATTTTTATTTCTTCGAATTTTTTTCATAAGCAATATTGACAACAACAAGACAACAGTAACAAGAACTTTTATGAATCAGGAGACAGCAGTTATAGTTATTTAATATATATGTACATGTTTTTTCTGCTCTGCTGGCTGATTAATTTTTTTGGGAGAATATAGTGATATGTGTACAGTAACATCTTTTCACGTGATAGACATAATCAAAAAAAGAAAATTTATAAGAATTGCTACAACGATAACACGCCATTGTGTATGTAATATAGCTGCGCTAAAGTTTTATTTATTCCAAGCTCCATAATAAGAAAATTCACAAGTGTAAATCTAAAAATTATTTACGGCGGACACCAAGCACAAAAGTTAACATCTAATACTGCACGTGTACATGTAGTTGCATCCGTATCTATTATTGTGGCGACGTACATTTTCTATTACGAAAACAGCGATGCTTTTCCGTGGAAATTAAACTGTGAAGTTTTTGAATTCGGGTTAATACGCGCAAATTCTAAAAAAGTCTATAGATTTACTCGTCGTGATTACTTTGAATTCATTACCATTAGTGAATTCCAATCACGCTTTTTTTAAAAAGAAATTGTTTTAAATTCACATTGAAACCAGCAGGTTAACTAAATCAAACAAATCAATCCGAGATGAATTTGAAACATGAAACTATATTATATGATGAAAAATTGGATTGATATTATTTATAAATTATTAAATTCAGATGTTTTTATAAATTTGACTTCTATTCAAATTAATTTTAAATTATATTGTTGTAAGGAATTATATAATGTTATTAAGAGTTTTTTATAAATGATATTTTTTATAAGTTAGTGATTTATTTTACAGAAAAATAAAGATAAATTTTATTATTCAATTTTATATTATAAAAAGAACTATATTATATTTTATTCTTTGAAAAAATTTTCTTTATGAAATATTGAATTCATAATTTTTATATTAATATAATTTCTATTTAAATTATTATATTACATTTCTTTTAAAATATAATAGCATTTATCACAAAATCTTTATTAAATATTTATAAATCATAGTGATTTTTTTTCATATTCTATTATTTTTTATACAAATATAAAATAAATTCAAATCTAGTTATTTTTTTGAAGAAACTATATTAACTTATATAATTTATATTATAAGAAACTATTAATAAAGTATCAATAAAATTTAGCTTATATTCTATAGGTATATAATAATATTTTATTTATATCAATAAATATAGCATATTAGTATTTTTATTTTATGTAAAACTCATAAAAAAGCTATTTATAAAGTTTATATTTATATGAGATATTATATTAATTTTATAAAAGTTGTTATTATTTGTTTATGATTAAATACTTATGATTTTATTATTTGAATAATATTCAGATTGAGATAAAAATACAGAATAGAAGTGACTTATTTATATAAAACAAAATGAATATAAAATGCAAATAAATTAATAATTTAAATTATATATAAGTTGAATATAATTAATTAACTTAATTTGCATTTTGAAAGGATAATGAATTATAATTCAATAAATTAATAATAATTATAATAATAATAGATAAGAATAAATAAAAATATAAAAATAAATTAATAATTAGAAAATATATAATAATTATTTGTATAATAATATAAATTAATGAATATATAATAATTATCTATATTTTCAAAGTGAAATTGTTCTTTAAAATATAATATAAATAATGTAAAATAAAGATCTAATTTAAATAAATATAATTTAATTAAAAATATTATATATTATAAACTCTATAATAAGTATTTTTAAACTCAAAATAATTTTATTTAAAAGCTCAAATTTAATTTAAATAATTAAATTTTACTTATTTTATAATTATTTATAAATTTTTGCTTAAATAATTTTTTTTATTTATCTTTTTTATAATAAATCATATTTATTTATAATAATTATAATTAAATCTTTTTATAAATATATTATATTTTTTATAATAAATATTTTTAATTTTTTAATTATTAATTAATTATATTAAAAAAAATCTTTTTATAGTTATTTATCTAATTTTGCTTTTTTTAAGTATTTAATAATAATTATAAATAATATAATATTATTTATTAATTAAAAAATTTGTTATCTTTATTATAAATAAAGTTTTATTTTA